ATATAATTTATATAAATTTGGTCATATCTATCTCAGTTTGGTCATTATCTATCTATGTGTTTGTGTGTCTGTTCATATCTGCCTCTCTATCTTTGTTTCTAGCTGTCAATTACAGTCTATTAATCTATTCATCTATCTATATAGGTAACTGGCGACCTATGTCAGTGTCTATCTATCTATATATATATATATATATATATATATATATATATATATATATATATATATATATTTATATATATATATTTTATATATATATCATATATAAATCAATTTGGCCATATCTATCATAGTTTGGTCATTATATATATATATATTTGTGTGTATGTGTGTTGTGTGTGTGTGTGTCTGTGTGTCTGTTCCTATCTATCTGTCTATCTATCTATGTTAGTTTCTATCTATCAATTACAGTCTATTAATCTATCTATTTATCTGTCTATAGAGGTAACTGGCTATCTATGTCAGTCTGTGCCTATCTATCTATCTATCTATCTATCTATCTATTTCTAACTGCCATTTTTAACCCGTTCTCTCTTTTCCTAACTATTAATTTTCACTTTCTCACCTGAAAATTTTATTCCAGTCTATTTCCTACCGAACGTCAGCACCACAATTGCTTCCTTTGTTTTTGTTTTTAATCATCCTCATCTTTTATTTTTATATCCTCCCCACACACACACACACTCGGCTCATTCTTTTTTATCCATTTATCTTTCATGAACCAATCCTCGTTTGCTTTTCTTCGTATAAATAATGAAGTGTTCTTCATCCTCAAATACTTGTTTTCTACCCGGTGATAAGCGAAATGCAAACATTGACTGCTTCTCTTTTTTTTTTCTGTAAATTCTTTTTTATTGGAATCTGATTGAAGTCGAAGCCACCTCACTTCCCTTTTGCCTATCTGACGTCAGTTTCAAACAAAATGCCTTTTTTTCCGGCTTTAGTTTCGACATTCATTAATTACGATTATATTTCAGATTTGCGTAGCGATGTTTATTACAAAGATATTCTTTGTTTTAAATCATTTTAAAACTTAAGCCGTGAACACTGACTCAGGTTAGCATCTGTAGTGACGCTGCTGTTTAAATGTGACCATCAGATTTCAAAGCTTAATAACCTAAAGAGATGTATAGAATCGCATGTTCGCCTTCATGAGGAGAGTTAAAGTATTGTTCAAAACTTACATAAAAACATAAACAGTAATTATTCTACCTATGTAAATAGCTATTCCCTATAATCTAATACCAGTAATGGAATATAAGAATACAAAAGAATATATTTTAAAATAATATCTCGATTTCAGTCGCTCTCCCACCGCTATAAGATGGCTTCTCTCTGTCTTTTCTATAAATATTTTAATGGCGGTTCTTCTGATGAGCAGAACAAAAAAACAAGAAATAATTAAAAAAAAGAACACCAAAATCGGTCAGACTCTTCCAAATATAAGCAAGATATTTCCATGCAAATTCTTCGATTCTTCGTCTATGTCCTTCTAATCATGTCCTTTGTTTTAATCATTTCGCTCCAAGCAAGGCGATAATGCAACTAAGACGCAATGGTCTCCGAAAGTGAATGAACAAGATCAGTGAAGGAACAGTGTTCAGTACGACAAAAGATGACGATTGACGTTGTATTTATATTTTTTGAAGATTGTAGTTGACAGGGAGGCAAGAAATCCGAAGGGAGTTCCATAGGCGGGAAGTACGAGAAAAGAAACAATTATGATAGAATTGTTAACGTAAAACTAACGGTTGCATTTCCATAGTAATTTGTTGAGACCTTGCAATCAATCTCGTACAAATCGGAACTTTGACTTCTGGAATAAAAATATGACATGAAACAAAATATACATGAAAATAACTTTTTTTATATTATTGTCTAGAAATAAAGTAACTTGTTACCTCGATTATATGAAGTTAAGTATACTGCTAAATTGGCAACTAAGTCTCGTCGTTTTATTGTTAATTTAGTTAGATGCAAGTTCTGTGCTAACAGTTTTTTTCTCGCACTTCTCGCTTGTGGAATATTCTTCTGGTTCCATGCTTTCCAGCCAACTTTGATGTTCAAAAATTTAAATGCAATGTCAATCGTTATCTACTGTCTTTCTGATTCCTCCTCTTCTATTGTTCTCGCACCTTAGCAATGTTTCTCTTTTTATTAACACTCAATAACCCCTTGCGTCTTAGTGGCTTTATTGTCTTGCTTGAGTGAAATTTTTTTAAAATCGTGTTATTTTTCACTACAAAAATAAATAAAAAATTTTTTATCAAGAACGTTATTATGAAGAGTTAATGTCGAAATTAAAAAGCAGCCTAAAAGGGCGTCGCGTCGTCGTCGCTCCGTCTCGCCGCCGTGATCCGATTCTCCACCGCCGTGCGGTCACCTCCTTTTCCTTTCCCTCCCGTTTCCTGCGGCCCTACTCTACCTATCTTCGCGTCCGTTTTGCGCGCGTGCGCGGTCAGCGGTTTCTCCTCCAAGGGTGCTCTTGACCGAGTGTCCGCGGCGGCCGGTACGTTCACTTTGAAAAAATTAGAGTGCTCAGAGCGGGCTGTTCAAGCTTGCATACGATAAGCATGGAATGATGGAAGAGGGCCTCGTCTACGTCTGTCGGTCTCCGTCTACGGCGAGGCAATGATCGAAGGGAGCGGTCGGAGCCGGTGTTGTTAGATATTGTAAACGAGGTGTACAAAACGTCAACCCTAAACCAGAGCCTGATGCCCAAAAAACGCATTTATAAGAATCAATTGTTTCTAATTTTACTTTTCCACATCTAGAATGATAAAAAGTATATTTATAAGAAAATAAGTCAGCAGAACAATAGTTACTTTATTTCTATACAATAAAATTAAAAAAAACGTTATTTTCATGTATTTTTTGTTTCATGTTATATCTTTATTCCAGAAGTCACAGTTCCGATTTGTACGAGATTGACTGCAAGGTCTCGTCAAATTACTGTGGAATTATCGAAATGCAACCGTTTATTCTACGCTAACAGTTCTATCATAATTGTTTCTTTTCTCGTACTTCCCGCCTATGGAACTCCTTTCCGATTTCTTGCCTCCCTGTCAACTACAATCTTCAAAAAATATAAATACAATGTCAATCGTCATCTTTTGTCTTCAGTAAAACAAAAGATGACGATTGTTCTTTTATTGTCCTTTGTCCTCTACTAAGTTCATTCACTCTCGGAGACCATTGCGTCTTAGTAGCATTATCGCTTTGCTTGGAGTGAAATGATTTAAAAAAAAAGGACATGATTAGAAGAGACAGGGTACGTAGACGAAGAATCGAAGAATTTGCATGGAAATACCTTTGCTTATATTCGGAAGAGTCTCATCGATTTTGGTGTTCTTTTTCTTTTGGTTTTTATTTCTTGTTATTTTTTTTATCTTTTGAACACTAAACAAAAGCACTGCTTTTCCGATAATTTGCAATCAACCAGAATCTGGTATCACGGTATTCTCAGTGATCACTTTGGTAATGCTCGACCACCAGCCCTACAGCTGAACGTAGACGAGAGACTTCTGATCACTTGCCAAAACACTTCATATTGACGGAAATCTATCAGAAATAATTTGGAGTTCAGCAATTGTAATTGTTGTTGACATCTTAGTTTTACATTTAACTTTTCAGCTTAAGACAAATACTAAATTCTGAAAATAAAAATTGTCTAGTGTGAAGGATATCATAGATTTTATAAGTATATGAAAAACCACCATAACAAAGAGGTTTTCTAATTCTAGAATTAACGATACCACGCTATAAAATGTTTATTCTGATGTAATGCTTATTTTGAACAACTGTATTAGACAGAATTATTGTTAGAACAGACAGACACATCCATAACAAAATATTTTTCATGACAGAAAGACATCATGAATTAAATTTCTTTTCTCTATACAAAAAATATCCGATTTTCATACAAAGAAACATAATCCGCCAATTACATTAATTTATCAAAAGAACAAATTGTGATTGGTTAATAAAACAACAGATATTTGAATGCAGATTTAGTGAAGTTGATAAATTATTTCTTGTTGAAATTGAGAGTTCTAAAGACAGACAGATAGTCAAAAAGATAGAACATGTTCGAAAAAAATCCAAACCCACCACTGCATCATCGACTGATTTGTTGTTTTTATGGTCTATCCACCCCTTTGTGGATTATTTTTTACGGTTTATCCACCCCTTTATGGATTATTTTTTACGGTTTATCTACACCTTTGTGGATTTTTTTTTACAGTTTATCTACACCTTTGTGGATTATTTTTTACGGTTTATCCAGTCCTTTGTGGGTTATTTTTTACGGTTTATCAACCCCTTTGTGAATTATGTTTTACGGTTTATTAACCCCTTTATGGATTATTTTTTTACGGTTTATCAACTCCTTTATGGATTATTTTTTAGGGTTTTTCCACCCCTTTGTGGATTATTTTGTACGGTTTATCAACCCTTTTGTGGATTATTTAATGCCGAAACATATTTTCGATTGTAAGAATATTTTTCCCCAATAAAAACTTGCCAGTAAATAAGGCATTAAAATTTTTTCTTTCTTATTTTTTTTTTTTTTTTTTTTTTTTGAATAACAATGATTTTTCCAGATACAAGTCCTACTATTTAACTGATAGCCGTGGGAGAAAGCGATGGATTCTTATATTTCCCAAGCGTATTTGCGCTTAAGTGAATGTAACGAAACCGACTAGAAATCGAACTCAGATCTCCGATTTCTCCTTCCGCACATCCACCCTATCACTGCATGAAGCCCAAAATTACATGTACTCCGTTTTATTGCCAGTTGTCGATTTTGTATAAATTTTATTCGTTGCAAAAAAAATTACATATTCTTTATACGAACGGCTGTTGAAAAATAATAGTCACCTTGAAAAAGAAAACAAACGACATTATTCATGGCAGCTTTGATCTTTTTTTTTTACATGTGAACAGGTGAACAAGAAAGAGTTTTTATTTAAGTTTCATATTTCACTTTTATTCTCCTAGGCTTACGGCCACATCACGTCGAAACACCGGTTGCCGTACGATCACCGCCGTTAAGCAACGTCGAGCATGGTCAGTACCTAGATGGGTGACCGTTTTGGAATACAAGGTGCTGCTCGGATGTGCGGGTGGTGTAATAGATAATGCTTGTTAATTAGAGAGACGAGTTTCAATTCCCATTGCGTTCGTTATATTAATTTATGCACATGGGAATGGTACGAATTCACCTCTTCTCCCCCAGTTATGGGTTAATTAATAAAATGTGTATTACTAAAAAACATTATTATCTAAAAAAAAAAGATTCTTACAATCTAAAAATATTTTCCGGCTTTAAATAACCTGCAAAGGGTTAGTGAGTCGTAGAAAACAAATCAATCAATGAAATACTGATTAGCTCCACAGGCATGTCTTTTAGATTTATTTCCATTCTCTGGAATATAAATGTATATAGAAACTACCGTGGCCACAAAGTGAGGACTCAGATTATATGTTGAGTGTAATATAGAATTGATCCCCCACTTTATATCCATATTATTTCTTGTTTGTTTATCAAATTCTGATTAATTATGAATCCACTATTCTCACACACACCCTCGCTATAGGTTAATTACTAAAACCTGTGTCACTAAATCATTATTATCTGCCCCCAAAATTCATAAAATCTAAAAAATATTTTGGGCCTTAAAAGGGTTGATAAGCTGTAAAAAACGAATTAATCAATCTATTCTCATCTGTTAAATGTCTTTTGCGTGCGCTGTAAGAGGATCAAGAACCTACAGTCCCGTGTTTCTCCGCTGAATGTCTGCATCGAAACAATAAGTATTGTTCGTTAAGTTAAGCTAGTATCAATTTACAAAAATGAATACCTCCAAAATAATGTCAAGAAAAATAAGTACATAATGAATATTTATTTGAATGTCTCTCTTCGAACCAAGGGCTGGATTGCATGTTTTGTTTCGAGGCTAGTATGACTAATGGACAACTTTCATGCGCTTGACAAAAGAAAATTCTTGATTATAATGTAGAAGGAAAAATAAAAGTATTTCTTTTTAATCATTTAACCCGAAGCAAGGCAATAAAGCCACTAAGATGCAAGGTCTTACTGAGTGTGAAAGAATATGAGAAAAGAAAAACGTGATTAAGGAGAGAGAACAATAAAAGAATAAGATTCGAGGAAATAGAAGATGGCGACAGATATTGTATTTAAATTTTTAAAAATCAAAGTTGACTGGAAACCAAGATGCCGGAAGAGAGTTCTAAAAGTACAAGAGATTAAACTGTTAGCATAGAAATTACGGTTATCTAGCCATTTCAGCTGTAAAATGGTGAGACCTAGTTGCCAATCCAGTAAATTCGTAAAGTCTAGGTAACAATGAGAAAAGCTTATCAGACCAATTACTCATAATTCAGAATCAATTTTGGAACTTTTGCAAGTGAAAAACAGAAAAACCAAAAGCAATTTATCGAAGCTGTCAGAGAATAATTTGTTGTTTTTTTTTTTTGTTTTTTTTTTTTTTTTTTTATCATTTCACCTCAAGCAAAGCAATAAAGCCACTAAGAAGCAAGCGTTTAATGAAAGAATATAAGAAAAAGAAGAATATGATGGAGAAAGAACAATAAAAGAAGAGGAATTAAGAAAATAGAACTCGCGATAGTGTTAGACAACGAGTTGATTTTTGGAGTATAAACTTACATATCTGAACATTTATTTTTGTTATTATCGTAATTCCCCATGTATAATACGCATTTTTCCTAAAAAAAATAATAAGCAATATTAGGAGTGTGTATCATGTACAGTTACAAATACACCTTTAAAAATTGCTCTTTCATAGGTCGATTTCAGTTGCGAAAATACTACTAAATAACACAAACGTACGACAATTTGACGCTAACATTCGGCGATTGCGACTCCATAAGGATGTTAAATACAATCATATGTACCTAACAATACTTACAAGTGGAAAATAAAATAAGAATTATCATAAAACTAAATTGCAATAATATTTTTTTGTGTTTAAAATCATTTTTTAATCAGAGTAGGAAACGCTGGCCGTAATGAAATTAGAGAGGTACAATTTGATTACCAAACAAGTGGTGCGTATTATGCATGAGTAGAATCATTCTCCCACATTTTCAGTACAATTTTAGGGGTGTGTATTATGGATGAAGGTGTATTATACATGGAAAATTACGGTATTTATTTAGCAAAGTATTTCAATTTAAAAATTAAAACATTCTTTAAACCTAACTAAACCGTATAAGATATTTTAGAAATGATTAAGCAATAAAAATGGTGCTAAAAACTTCAAAATAATGAGCATCTCAGTCATTAAAATATCTGTTCCTTTTTCTCTCTTTCTTTTTACAAATATGTCTTCATGTATCTTTCTTTTTATGTGCCGTGTCATTTCAGGATGTAGGCGATCATGGCTCTCCACTTCACCCTATCCCTTGTAGCTCTCAATAAGTTTCGTCCCTCTGCCACCTTCCCCAAGGCCACTCCCTTAAGCCCGCCAGGTATGCCATGCGTTGCTTTCCCTTGTCTTGCTTTCTCTCTATTCGATCTGTGAGTATCAAATTCTCCAGGTCACGCTTATTTAGCTAAATGACACAGATAAGGAATGTTTTATTTTTCAATTTTACATAGCCTTTGCGGTTGATACAATCGACGGACACTTCTTCTGTGTTGTCTCATGCGTGATGTCATCATAGGGGTCAAATGTTTAAAAAATTGCAATCAATCAATCAATCAATCAATCAATCAATCTATCTATCTATCTATCTATCTATCTATCTATCTATCTATCTATCTATCTCAGTCTATTCATATCTATCTATCTATCTATCTATCTATCTATCTATCTAACAGTCTGCTCTTTATGAATGATGAAAAGAAAAATTTTGGAAACTAAATAGAAAAATAAAAAATAAATCGTTAATTTAAATCTTAAATCGTTAATTTTAAAAAATAATTCCTTGTAAGGGTAGTAAAATTGATGTGTTCTCTCGCTGCATTCGCATCATTTGTTACTTATGCGCTAATGTGCGTTAATTTGTGTCTATTTCAGTTAATATTTGACGTGTAACGATATATATATATATATATATATATATATATATATATATATATATATATATATGAGCAGGCATCTACCTCGTAACCGCACCCCCCACACACGTTCGGAATACAAAGCGATTGAAAGTAACAGGTTATACATATTAACACAAAGGCCCCACTGAAGTAGATATGAACGCATGCTCAAATCGCTTCCATGTATGCAAGGGTAACTAAATGGGAACTATTTCTTTTTGCCACTATGCCAAATTTTCAAAAGCTGTAAAAGGGCAAAGCATCAATTCATCGGAATAGGACGTGAGAACTTGTGGAATATGCGGAGTTTTATTAAAAAAAACTTGACATTGTGAACTGGTAACACGAATTCCGTCATCTTTGTAGCCATTATAATTGCTAGAATTGATTATGCTCGTAAAAAAAAGCGGGCATGTTTAATGAAAGAGAAAGGTCGAAGCTGAAGACAAAAGAGAAAAAAGGTGTAATGAAATGGCAAAGCATGAGACGTGACCATTTTTTTTTTACGTAAGGTTTAGGGGTTACTAGCATTCCTGATGAGTAGGTCACCTAACGTCACCCGTAAGAATGAATTAGTTATTTCAGTCTATTCCTATGAAATGTACTATTTATCAACCTATCGGGTCAAATCTATTTCTATCTTCGTTTGTTTTAGTTTCTTTTTTGATCTATCGATCTAAATGTCTACGAATGTACGTATGATATATATCTATATAACTATTCTATATATTATTCGGACTATTGTGTTCATCTTCCAACAAAAACCAAAACATAAGGGATCTGTCTGAAAAGTAAAGAAACTGGTGTCAAAAACAATTTATTTCAATTCTAAACAACAAACTACATGGTTTCCCCTTCAAAGGAATCACCGTCTAGTGTAATGCACTTTTCCATCCTTCTCTGTCACGCTTCTATGCTGGAAGGATTCTTCTTATATGGCCCTCAGCTCCGTCGTTACAGCCCTTTTAATGGACCCACGCCTTCAAAATGGGTCCTCTTGATGATCCCATTGAATCTAGGAAAAGAAATGTCACACAGAGCAAAATCAGGTGAATGAGGTGTTTCAGTACGGCGATGTTCTTCACGGTCAGAAACTGACGGATGTTAAGGACGTTGTGAGAAGGTGCAATGTCGTAAAGTGAAGCAGCCACGATTTGTCCTACCACAACTCTCGTCTCTTCTCCCATAATGACCGTAGCAAAAGCCGCCGAATCTCTTTGTAGACAAGCTGATTGGTCATCTATCCCTTTAGCAAGAACTCACTGTGGACGATTCTTTTCACATCGAAGAATGCAATCAGTCCCGTCACTTTTCAGACAAACCTCGTATAGCAGTCGAAATGTTGTGTTTAATCAAAAGTAATAAAGACAAATCTACTTACAAATGTAATTTGCATGTTGGGTTGTCTTAGTGAATATTAACGAGGGGTATCGTTAAGGATTAAAAATCTGGCCTTGCACATCCTAATTACTAAATATGACTTCAATCCTCACTGGGTGCCCCACACTTGTATCTTTATAATATATAAATCAACACTACGCCATTGAGCCATAATAATCTAAAGTGGAATGCATTTTTTTTGCACTGACTTTTTCTCGGGCTAAAATCAAATGTTCTCTTTATGAGAATAAAGAAAAAAAAGACTTCCATTGTAGTTGAATTTCTATTTCTGCAAATATATCTGCTTCTCTGTTAGTCTGTTTATCCTATCAGACACTTTTTAAGGACACGGGGTGCGGTCATTATTAAAATCAGTGTAACAAGGACCTAGTTTTTGACAAACGGACGCACCTACCCATCATCAAGCAGGATTCCCTCGCATTTTTTTTTAACATTGTCGAACAGGTTTTGAAAATCTGTCCACTTTGCGTCCGCTAATCAAACAGTTACCCGGGTGACACCAATTTTTCTACAGCTGTTCACCTGCTTACACGGATCATGTCATCACAGATCAACGAAAGAATCGTTGAAGTGGTGCTACTTGCAATGGAGAACAAGAGAAAAGGAAAAGAATGAAAAAGGGAGA